AAGCAGTATGAAAAACTAGAAAGGCAAAGTTTAGAGCCCAGTAGAAGAGACCTGATTTAGGGCAATGGCCATGGAAATGAATTAATGAATGAATGAATGGGCACATAAAATACTGTAGACATACAGGCGTAGGCAACCAAATGGATTAGAGCTAAGGGAGAGAAAAATAATGACAATCACTGATATTTCCAGTCTGGGTTATAAGATGCCATTAACTGAAACAGGAAATGAGAAGAAGAAATATGATTGAAGTAAAAATAACACATTCATGTAGAGTTATGTCTCTATTCAAAAGTTAACAAAATTAATATGAACCTAAATTATCTTTGAATGCTAGCTATACTGTGTAGTCCTGGTGAACCTTTTTTTGTTGTTGTTGTTAATCATCATCCGAGGATATTTTTCCATTAATTTTTAGAGAGAGTGGTAGGGAGGGGGAGAGAGAGAGACAGACAGACAGACAGACAGACAGACAGACAGACATTGATGTGAGAGAGACACATTGATTGTTTGCCTTCCACATGCCCTGACCAGGACCAGTGATCAAGCCTGCAACCAACGTACGTGCTCTTGACTGGAATCAAATCCAGGACCCTTCAGACATGGCCGACAATCTATCCACTGAGCCAAACCAGCTAGGGCCTGGTGAACCTTTAATAACAAAATGTTATGCACACTAAGGACATGTAGGTGATAAATAATAAAAATAGTGTACACTGTTCTCTGTAAACTTGTAAATATTTTTTATAAGAGGGACCATTATCATTAATTATTAAGCACCCATCAGAAATTTTTAGTTCAGCATAAAATGCAATAATCAGAACAGACTGAAATTACCATTTCATGTTTTTATCTTTGAACTAGAAAAAATGTCAAACTACATTATAATAATCCTTATAGTTCTAAAAAGAGCAATTGTGGACTTACAGTGATCTAGAAAGATTAAAAACCAGTTTTTAAAATTCATCTCTACTTTTGCTTTTAATTTATGTGAAGCAGCTCTCTAACCTTTTAAAGACCACAAACTACATTTATAAATTAGGATAATCATACTTGCCTGCTCACTTCATAGTCATTTGAGAATTATGAGATAATGTTCTTGTAGCTCTCTGAACCATATAGACAAAAGGCATTAATTATCAATGATAAATGGAATTATTCTGATGTCATTTTTTCTACCTCAGGTTTACCTAAGTTTGTACTTGGAAGAGACTACAAAATTTAAGATAAAATACTTTAGATATAAATCTTGGCTTGTCTAATCTAGATGTAGGCCAGTTACAACTACAGAGCCTATGTAGACCATTTAAAAGAATACAAATAAGATAAAATGTGTATAAAAATAATGGTTACCAACTAAAGAATAGAAAACCATTTAGAAAACAACTAATGGTGGCATATTTTTACCTAACTACAAAAAAGGTCAAATAAGCCTTTTTGAGATGTCATAAAACTGAATATTTTTAAAAATAATTTTAACAGACCAGGTATTTAATTAGGTTCTTTATAAGAAATTTAGAACACCAGTTTATAGGAATAAATCCCATTTGCAAGAGCAACACAGAGCAGAGTACAGAGTATGAAAAACTAGAAAGGCAAAGTTTAGAGCCCAGTAGAGCCCTGGAACTGAGGAACAGCTTTGATTTTTGGCAGAATTTTCAAGTCCGCAGCTTTCTGATCAACCTTGTACCGCACTGTAATCTTGTATTTTACTTTCGGTGTCAGAGATCTCACCCTCCTGGTGTCTGGGCTTGTACATGCACAGCTTCTTCTTTTTAATTTTTATTTATTGACTTTAGAGAGAGGAAGGGGGAGATAGCGAAACATCGATTTGTTGTTTCATTTATCAATGCATTCGTTGGTTGATTCTTTTCTTTTTAATATTTTTTTATTTATTATTTTTTTAGAGAGAGAGGAAGGGAGAAGGATAGAGAGGAAGAAACATCAATGAGAGAGGAAATCATCAATCGCTTATATGCCTGGGGATCAAGTCCACAAGTCAGGCATGTGCCTTGACCAGGAATTGAACCAGCGACCTCTTGGTTCCTGGGTTGACACTCAACCACTGAGCCACACCAGCCGGGCCATTGGTTGATTCTTGTTTGTGCCCTGACTGGAGAGCAAACCCACAATCTTGGTGTATCGGGATGACACTCTAACCAACTGAGCTACCTGGGCAGGAACTGGCTTGTTCTTCTTAAAGTAAGCATCAGTGAGATGTTTAAGGATTTTCACACCACTGGTATCAATTTTGGTGGAGGTGGCAATGAGGAATTCGACTGAGGGACAGGGGCCCAGTCACAAGTAGCAAGCACTGCTCAGCTGCTTCAGGAAAATCACCCCCTTGCCTCTGTGGTGCCCAGTGAGCATGATCAGAAGGGTCAAAGAAGTAATGCTAGCCCACAGTTTTCTCACATGCTGACTAAAGAGTTTCTTGCCATGGCTCAACAGCTTCAGTAAGATAATATCTAGACATTTTGCAAAATTTTACCACTTAGATACCACCATTCTGGTTCTATGACAGTAGCAAGAACCTTTTCCTTTTTCCTTTCAGTACTGGATTTAGTTGCTGAATACTTCCTCTCGTACATGGCCTTTCAGGAGTACATAGCCAATCAGGAATACCTGCCAATTCCTCTGACCAGGATTTTGGCTGCAGTGGGACTTCCCCTCCTTAGGTATGTTGCTCTTAAGGTTATCTTCCTTAATCTAGCCACCAGCATTTGGCTAAACTCAACAGCCTCCCTTTTTAAAAATTTAAGTTTATTGGGGTGACATTGATTAATAAAATTATACAGGTTTCAGGTATACAATTCTACAATACTTCATCTGCATAGTGCAGCCGTGGGCAAACTACAGCCCACGGGCCAGATTCGGCCCGTTTGAAATGAATAAAACTAAAAAAAAAAAAAGACCGTACCCTTTTATGTAATGTTTACTTTGAATTTATATTAGTTCACACAAACAGTCCATCCATGCTTTTGTTCCAGCCCTCCGGTCCAGTTTAAGAACCCATTGTGGCCCTCGAGTCAAAAAGTTTGCCCACCCCTGGCATAGTGTATTGTGCGTTTACCACCCCAAGTCAAGTCTCCTTCCATCACCATTTATCCTCCCTTTACCCTCTTCCTCTGGCAATCACCATATTGTTGTCTGTGTCCATGAGTCCTCCTTTTTTTGTTTTTCTTTGCTTAATCCCTTTACCCTTCTCACCAGCCCCCAACCTCTGCTCCTCTGACAGTTATCAGCCTGTTCTCTGTATCCATGAGTCTGATTCCACTTTGTTAGTTTATTTTGTTCATTAGATTCCACTTTTAGTACTTGTCTTTCACTGATTGGCTTTTTTCACTTAGCATAATACTTTCCAGGTCACATCAGCCTTCTTGGCTTCAGCTTTCTTCTCCTTAGTGTCAGGCTTCTCAGCTCTTTATATATATATATATATTGATTTTAGAGAGGAAGTGAGAAGGAGAGAGAGAGAGAAACCTCAGCGATAGAGAGAACCACCAATCGGCTGCCCCTCCGCACGTCCCCCACCAGGGATCAAGTCCACAACCTGGGCATGTGCCCTTGACCGGAATCGAACCTGGGACCCTTCAGTCCACAGGCTGATACTCCACCCACTGAGCCAAACCAGCTAGGGCTGTACTAACTCTTGATGGTTAGCATCAGCATTAAATATTGCAGTAAAACAAGAGCACATCCTTTAAGTGTAATATTTAACACTATTAACACATTTTGACAAACTTAAATTGCTGGTGCCAGGGAGAATTCTATTCTCAGGCATAATTAAGAGCCAACCATTTGGCTAAACTCAACAGCCTGTATTTCAGCCACAAGTGATAATGTTAGCAAAGCAGGTGACAATGAGAAGACAAAGTCAAACTGGAAGTTATCCATTTCTTAAAGCAAACTAAAAAACTAACATTTATTCTCCCTTGAAAGCTTCTTGTAACAAGTCTGACAGAAATATAACCAGTGAGGGTTTTTCTTTCAGGCGCCAGCAATATGTATTATTACTACTTATTTTCATTCAATTTTAAATACTTGCGCTTCCCTCCACTCCCACCAACCTACTTCCCCTTCTGTGACAGGCCTCCCACCTAAGTTTCTACTCCCTCCACTCCCCGAGCTCTAATTATTTCCTCTTAATCCTTAAGACTGTGGAAGTCAAATAAACTGCCTGGCCTTAATCAATGAGGGTTCTCCTTTCATTATCACTTACTATCTGATTATTAAATTATTTTGGCAGTCTCACTGAAAACCTTCACATCTCCTTATCTGCCTCTGTCCTTGTACAAAGTACTAAAACACATAGGTTTAAAATCATGTTAAAACTTGATGTCAACGCCAGAAAAAGCAAAAAACAAAGTCAGAATATAAAATATCTGCCCTTTGTCAGACCCACCGGCAGGTGAACCCCAGTCTGCATACTCTGTAGCCCCCCGCAGTTGACAAGTAGGTAGGTGCTGGCTGCTGTGGCACCAGGCAGAGTCCCAACCTCCACCCTCGCTCCTGGGTCAATAACTGGGATGGCAGTGGGCAGATCCGGGCCTCTCCATGCTGCCAGCCCTGGAGCTGCACAGCCAACCAATGGCTCTTGAGATGGCGGAGGAAGAGGAGGCTGCAGTGAGAGGTACAGTGTTGATAGAAAACAACCAGTGCATTGCTTCCATGGTTTCTAATCATGAGCCCAGGGACAAAACCCACAGCTACTAGCTCTATCTATCAGCCCACATGTGACAGTTTCCAAGAAAATAAAAGGAAGTGATTCAGATCCACCCCAAATGGAAGATGGCGAACAAGTAAAAATGAAGTCCTTCAGAGAAGCTCATAAATAAACCGAAAAGCAGAGCAGAGATAAAATGAGTAACCTGTCTGCCATGATCCCTCAGTGCAAGCCCATGGCACAAAAACTGAACACTTAGTTTTAAAGATGACCATTCAACTCTTGAAATCTTTAAAAGGAATGACAAATTCTTATGCAGGAGATATTTACTGACCTTCATTTATTCAGGATAATGAGCTCAGACACTTAATCCTTAAGAGTGCAAAAGGCTTTCTATTTGTGGTGGAATGTGAAAGAGGAAAAATTCTCTTCATTTCTAAGTCCGTCTCCAAAATAATTAATGATCAAGTATCCAAAACAGGATATTTTCCTCACTATATTTAGTTTTTAGTTTTTTTGTGTGTTTTTAAAAGATTTTTATTGCCTGCAGAGAGAAAGGAAGAGGGAGAAGAAGAGATAGAAATATCAATGATGAGAATTATTGATCACTGGCTGCCTCCTGCACATCCTACCCTAGGAATTGAGCCCAAAACTGGGTCATGTGCCCTGACCGGGAATCAAACTATGACCTCGTGGTTCATAGGTAAATGCTCAACCACTGAGGCACACTGGCTGGGCTTGTATTTGTGTGTGTGTGTGTGTGTGTGTGTGTGTGTGTGTGTGTATTTAAATATTTTTATTGATTTTTAGAGAGAAAGGAAAGGAGAAAGAGACAGAAATAGAAACATCAATGTGAGAGTGGAATATTGATCAGCCGCCTCCTACATGCCCCCTTATCAAGGATTGAGCCAGCAACCTGGGCATATGCCCTTTCTGGGAATCAAACCAGCAACCTTTTGGTGTATGGGACCATGCCCAACCAACTGAGCCACACTGGCTAGAGCTAAGTTTAGTTTTTTAAAACATATTTCAAAGACCTCTTTCTGAACCCTTTTCTTCCATTGGGATGTGGGATTAGTTTCTGCTAAATTAGAACTCCAAGAGATATGGAAAGAATTTGTGGAAAGAATATGGATGGCCCTAATCGGTTTGGCTCAGTGGATAGAGCGTCGGCCTGCAGACTGAAAGGTCCCAGGTTCGATTTCGGTCAAGGGCATGTACCTGGGTTGCGGTTACATCCCCAGTAGGAGGTGTGCAGGAGGCAGCTGATCGATGTTTCTCTCTCATGGATGTTTCTAACTCTCTATCCTTCTCCCTTCCTCTCTGTAAAAAAAATCAATAAAATATGTATTAAAAAAAAGAAAGAGTATGGATATTTACTACTGGCAAGAGTGTTCACTTCTTGACCTTTAGTAACTTGTTTTATTTTCCTGAATCTCAGCTTCCTCCTATGTAAAAAGTAGAAATGATTATATCTGTCTCTCAGGAGGCAAAGATTAAATAAACATATTTGAGAGTGTCTTAAAAATAAAATATCTGCCCTAACTGATTTGGCTCAATGGATAGAGCATCAGCCTGAGGACTGAAGGGTCCTGGGTTTGATTCCAGTCAAGGGTACATGCCCGAGATGCGGGCCTGACTCCCAGTAGGGGGCATGCAGGAGGCAGCCGATCAATGATTCTCTCTTATCATTGATGTTTCTATCTCTCTTTTCCTCTCCCTTTCTTTCTGAAATTAATAAAAATGTATTTTAAAAAAAGAATAAAAATACTCAGTGCCCAATCACCCAGCTGAAGAATTAAACACTATTTTTGAAGCTCCTGTATCCCCTTTCCCAATTGCATTCTCTAATCTTCCCCCTTAGAGGTAACTGTTATCTTTGCAGTAACTTCTAGGAGTCACTTTTAATTACAAATGTTTCTTTGCTCCCATTTCGTGAAAAGACTACCCTTCCTCCACTGAATCACCTTTGCACCTTTGTTGAAATCAAATGACCATGTATATGTGACTCTATTTCTGGACTCTATATTCTATTGCATTGACCTATGTGTTTATCCTTTCTCATTTAATTGGGACCATAAATCAAATTACTTTGATTTGGTGGCTACACTATGATCAGTATGTTTCTTTATTAATTGGGAATTGAAACAGTAATCAGCATCCTATATAGAAAATGGAACAAGAATCAATGGAAATTAATTCTAGTACAAGTATCATCATCAATGAACTGAAGTTATATACCTCCATGTGTCTTGGGGATAAAGATACCTACCATGTGGGAGTATTGAAGGTCAAGTGAGAAAACATATAAAAACGCCTGGACTGAGTTACACAAATAATATATTTTTTCTAATTTTTCATTTAGGAGTCTAATATTAATTACTCATAAACACCAGTTTCCATCCTTTTCTCCGCATCTGAATATTAAAACTTGAACCTAGGACTTTAGCAATAACAAACAGCCCATCAAATTTGTATAAATTTGGTCATGATTTGTATCCTGATCAGCCATTATAGGAATGAAGCAGCTGTAGTCAAAATTTCCCCTCAGTGTCCCCTGGGAATTTAGGCATTTTAATAATCACGTTCATGCACATCTTTTGCTCTCTTCTCCTCCCTTAATCTATAGTATAAATACTGAAATGCTAAACAAATATCATTGTAAGAGTAAAGGCACACTAGTAAAGAAAAGAAAAAAAGATGAGGTGAGGGGTTTCTTTTCTGTTGGTCATTTCAGGAAATAATCGTGAAATCAGATTCTAGTTCTCCCTTCTCCAACTTTATCTTTAAAAAAAAAAAAAAATGGGGACAAGAATCCTTAACCAATTCTAATTAAGTCCAAGTAATGTCATTTTTACTGCCAATAACCAGCCAAATTGGCAGGGAAATAGCACTGTTAATTCAGATGCACTTCTAGAGTGGTAAATGGAAAGACGCAACCACTGCACCAACCCAATGGGTTTGTCACATCCTCCTTCATGGTGACTACTTCCCATTCTTATTTCTCTCTTTTAGTTTCGTTTTCTTTCACAACTTTCCTTATTCTAATTTAATAATCAAATTGCATAAGAGAATTCAAATAATCACAGAGTTTTCCAGTTAAATGGTTCCTCCTCTTCTGAATTATACAGAAACATCTAGGTCAGTGGTCGGCAAACTGCGGCTCAGCAAACCGTGGCTCACAAGCCACATGCGGCTCTTTGGCCCCTTCAGTGTGGCTCTTCCACAAAACACCGGCTCTTCCACAAAATACCAACTTCTGCGCATGGGCCACGAAGTTTCAATCGCACTGTACATGCGTGCCCCCACGTGGTATTTTGTGGAAGAGCCACACTAAAGGAGCCAAAGAGCCGCATGTGGCTCGCGAGCCGCGGTTTGCCGACCACGATCTAGGTTAATTTTTGCCTTGAGCTATAATCTATCAAAATTTTTACTCAAAGGACTTTTATTAAACACAAATTAACAAGTATAATAAGCATCATGTCACATCATCTAAAATGATATAATTCTTGAGAGAGCATTTGAAATGAAAATAACAATTAAATTCTAGGTTCCCTTTAAAGTTAGTGCATACAAAATATCACTATTGTAATTTTTGTGTCATGGTGGTCTGTAGTTGTAATTAGTTTTGATTCATATATTTTGAACCTCTGTATCCTACTGATAGTATTTCAAGCATCATCACCATTTACCATATAAAACAGCATATATTTTTACAATGAAAAATATTGATATAAGGCTGTTTTCCTTTTGAATTATATATTTTTTTCTCCATCCAGTACAGAATAACTTTAATAATACTGTATGAACTAAAGTAACTGGAAACTTGGGCTTCTGAGGACATGGTGGCCTTAAGAGACATAAAAATCTCCCTTAAAAGATATTTAGAAATGTTGGATAAATAAAACATAACCTTCTAAATAAATAGCTAAGTTCAAGGGGGTTAAAAAAAAAAAAAAAGCAAGGGGGTTAAAAAATCAAAGAGAGCTGAAAATCAGTGATTTTAACTGTTGGGGAGCACACGAGACTTGGTTGGAAAGTTTGTAAGGAGGACAAACTTTCCAAGAAAAGGGAAGTGTGCAGAAGGCCACCCACCCTGTTTATCAGAATTCCAACTTAGGGGAGTGCCAAAGATGGTACCCCTAATTATCCCTTGACCTTTCCACACAAGCCTGTGCACATGTAAAACCCCGGGTGTTTACTGGAATCCTTATGCTTAATCTTTGGGTGTCCTTGCTTAAAGGACACAGCAAACACATGTGTCCTTCCAATATTACTTACCCTACTGATTGCATCTAAAAGATAAACTTTATCTCAAACTGCTGCTACAATAAAAGCCTAATGAGGCAGGCAATCGAGGTTGTCTGGTTCCTTTAGACAGGCAGTCCCTTAGCCCTCTCTTTCACAGCAAATGTTATGTTGGAGTAATCTATTCATCTGTCGCTCAGGGTCTGCTGGTCAGCCTCGGCATTTAACGATCACACAATACAGAAGAAAAGTCTTAGCTCCATACAAGGCAGGGAGGGAACTGTGATTCCTGGAAAAAGTTGCAAACTTCAGAGCTCTTTCTCCTCAGCAAAAGGATGAACAGCCAAAAATCTACTTTCCATGAGAGAAGATAACAAAGATCATGTGAGATCTCAATTAAAATTTATAAAGCACAGGAAGAAAAAAGTCATTTCGATGATTTATTTTGTGTGTCAACTTGACTGAGCTAAGGGATGCCCAGACAGATGGTAAACTATTATTTTGGGGTGTGTCTGTGAGGGTGTTTTTGGAAAGATTAGCATTTGAATTAGCTAACTAAGTAAAGAAGATGTGCTTTCAACAATGTGAGCAGGCATCATCAAATCCATTGAGGGCCCAAATAATACAAAAAGAAGGAGGAAGAGTGAATTCTCTCTCTCTCCTTCCTTGAGCTGGGTGGGACATCCATCTTAACCCTCAGACATGGGAGCTCTTGGTTCTTAAGTCTTTGGCCTCAGATTGAGAATTATACCATTGGTCCCCCTGGTTCTCAGGTCTTCTAACTAGCACTGAATTCTAACATGGGCTTTCCTGGTTCTCCAGCTTATAGATAGCAGAAAATGAATTTCTAGGCCTCCATAACTATATGAACCAATTCCTATAATAATTCTCATCTTATCTATATGTTACCCTGTTTGTTCTGTTTCTCTGGAGAACCTTGACTAAACCCTAAGTGATTATATATATATTTCATACATGTATATATACACATACATACACACACACACTCTATGTACATAAAAAATGTATCAACCATAATACTTCATTCACAAAAATTTTTCTCTGAGATAAAAGGCAAGAATGACATCAATGTGAATATCCATGGACATGCCCACTGTTCCTTGGAATTGGGTCAAATGTTTCCAGATGTCCTGTTAGACTGCATTATGGTCAAGCCAACCAGTTCAGTCATCCCTGAATTCAAGTGCTGAAGTCAGTCAATCCCACAGGAACTCACTGAGCTCATTTAGACAACTGAAAAGAAGGAACTTGTCCTCTCTATCCTTTTTTTTCCTT